AAGCTTTTAGATAGCTAAATATTTGGAAGGAATTACCCAACACACTTGGGAAAATAAATCCCAACAATAAAGTCCCATTTGGTGTCAAATCTGGGAACTTTCTAAGATAGTGTCTAAGTTACTGCTATGGAATAATCATGCCCTGCCCACCCCAGGATATCCGTTTTCTAATCGCTGGAACCTGTGAACATGGGACCTTGCATGGCAAAAGGAACTTTGCAGATGCGATTAAGTTAAGTATCTTGAGATGGGGAGATTGATTGCCCTGAATTTTCCAAGTGGGTCCCATTCAATCACAAGGGTCCCTAAGAAACAGAAGGGGACAGCTGAAGAATCGGTCAGTGCAGGCCATGTAATGACAGAAGAGCAGATCAGAGCAATGAGAATGCTGCTGGGAGGCCATGAGCCAAGGAATGAAGCTGGGAAAGACGAGAAATGGATTCCTCACCCGTCACCCACCACCTACCCCTTCTCTCAAGTCTCCAAGGTGTAGTCCTGCCAACACCTTGATATTAGCCTATGAGACTCATTTTGGCCCCGGCCAGAATGGCTCAGTTGGTTGGGAATTGTCCCACAAACCGAAAGGTCACTGGTTTGATTCCCAGTCAAGGCACGTGCCTGGGTTGCGGGTTTGTTTCCTAGGCCAGGGCCTATATGGAAGGCACCCGATCAGTGTTTCTCATATTGCTATTTCTCTCCCTTTCTCCCTACCTTCCCCAGTTTGTAAAATCAAAATAAAATTTTAAAAAAGACTCATTTTGACTTCTCCAGAACTGTAAAACAATATATTTGTGTTATCTGAAGCCACTAAATTTGTGGTAATTTGTTACAGTAGCACTAGGAAACTAATACAGGTACTAACTCCAGAGAAACATTATAAACATAAAATTCTTAATTTAGATCATGCCACAAAGAATGCCATTTACTGTCTTTAGTCTTTAATCTTGGGATATCTTGATTTGTTTTCTTTTGGGCAGATTTTGGTTTATGTTTTTCTGTGTATACTCAAATATATGGCAAGGGACCAAGGGCTTAAGGGAGAAGTACAAAGATAACTCCAATAGGTAAATAATTATTCCGCCACAAAGGACTTCTATAGGTACAGAAAATAAATCTCTTGTCCAAACAAAATACTAAGAGCTTTAAACATTCAAGACCATTTGTGTGAACTAAGATTTTTCCCCTTAAAAATAAGTAGAAAATAAAGATTTTTAACAAAGTAGAAACATTTGCCTCAGTTAATGTTTTTAATGACTTAGTGGTAACCAAGTGGGAATCCTATGTACTGATGCTGCGATAGGTAATAGACCAAAGGGACAAAGGCTACAAAATACATAGATTTAACCTGAAACTCTTACAGCACTTTGAATCCCACCCAGGATGTCTTGTTTGTGTGTGGTACACCTTCAAGCAAAGGAGGTCAATCTGTGTGTGGTAACTGTCCTGTGCTGCTGGGACTGAGAAGTTTCCTGGGCTGCGGAACTTTCAGTGCTAAAATCGGGTGAGTCCTGAGCACCCAGGAGGAGTTGGTCACCCTCCGAAGGATGAAGTCACCGGGCTGCAGGACGGTTACAACAGCACGATTCTGGATTCTGAGCCAGGCCCCTGCTCACTTCACCCCAAACTTCACTCACTGGGTAGTTGTGCTGACTCAAGTTGTAACAGATCTGTTTGGGAAAAAAGAGAGAAGGGGTTGCTGCAAGAAGCAGGGAGATTTTCTAATGTAGTCTCTAAACTGCACTTCTGATCTTTTATCAGCAACTTTCAGCTTATTTAAATGTTTGAATAAAAACAAAACAAAAAAGCATCAAAGGTGTGCCTTTTATGTGACTTGTCTCATTATGGAAACCCATCTGCTTTTTTCTCTAGTGAAGACAGAGTTTTCTGAAAAACACAGAATGTATGTTAATCTCTCCCCCAACAGTGATTGGAGTATTAGCCAAATAAACAATCTCTAGCAGATCTAAATCCGGCACAATGGGAATCCAGGTTTCTTCGGCTCTGCACAGCAGTTTCTGTTTTGAAAACGACCTTCGCTTAAGTGATACTCAGAACCCCATTTAACAGTTGAGTCAGAGCTTAGCCTCATTAGTGTTTCATAAAACGTCGTGGAAGTCTCCTTGTTTTTTCTAGTCATTTTCCCTCCATCTGTCATAAGAGGCTTCTCTTTACAATAGTTGGTGACTAAGAGAACAAAAGCACAGAGGGATGGCCTCATCAGACTCCAAAACCATCAACCTGATGATAATATTTTTATTTTTTTTAGATTTTATTTATTTTTAGAGGAAGGAGAAGGGAGGGAGAAAGGGAGAGAAATGTCAATGTGTGGTTGCCTCTCACATGCCCCCAACTAGGGACCTGGCCCGCAGCCCAGGCATGTGCCCTGCCTGGGAATTGAGCCACACCAACCAGGGCATGATGATATTTTAAATTTCCATTGTCTGGGTGCAGGTTAAAATAACACGTAAGTTGATATAAGCAAATCACAAAGCATTGTCTTGGGATTTTCCCAGTTTGTTTTTTCCCGTCCTTAAGTGTAGCCCCTGAAAAATCAGCAAACACTGCATCTGCATAGTTTCATAACTCTCAAGTGTTAGGTGCCTGTGACGTGACCTATGCAGAGACATGTGAGGTGTGTGCTGTGCAGCTGTAAGTCAGCACAGCCAGCAGGAAGTGTTTATGGAGGGTAGCATCCTGGCCCTTTCTTCAGTTGCTCCCATTTTTCTGTTTCTTTTTCCATCTCTTGGTCACTAAGATATTTCATGGGAAGTGGGGTGACAAATGGTAGTTATTTTCTTTGCGTGAATTGGTGGTAAAGGGTGCCTCTTTCCTGTCCTAAGAATTATCCAGAATGCTTATCTCTCTCTCTCCTGCTAGCCTCTCTTTTTTTTTTTTTAAAGAATTTTATTAATTTATTTTTAGAGAGAGGAGGAGGGAGGGAGAAAGGGAGAAGAACATTAATGTGCAAGAGAAACGTTGATCAGTTGCTTCTCACCCACCCCCAACCTCACCCACTCCCAACCAGGGACCTGGCCTACAACCCAGGCACGTACCCTGACTAGGAATTGAACCAGCAACCTTTCGGTTTGCCAGATAACGCCCAACCTACTGAGCTACACCGGTCAGGTTGTGCGGCTAGCCTCTTTACTAGGGTTGAGGCACCATCAGCCTCAGCTTTCTGTTTAGCCCAAATCTGCCAGTCATAAGTTCAGGTTGTCACCTGTACTTCTGACCACTTAGCTATAAACTGGGGGTTCCCATAGCCCCTCCCGAGGTCCAGTCATTTGGTATAATAGCTCTTGGACCTCAGGGGAACTCATACTTACATTGACTGCTTTATTATAAAGGATATAATAAAAGATACAGGTGAACAACCATATGAAGAGGTACACAGGACAGGGTACGGAAGGGTCATGAGTATAGAAGCTTCTGTACCTGTGGGCTTGGTGTATACCACCTCCCAGTATGCAAATGTATTCATCAATCCAGAAGCTCTGTGCTCTTCATATTTTAGACATTGTGATGGAGGTTTCATCACGTAGGCACAATCAGTTATTAACTCCATTTCCAGCCCCTCCCCATTTTGGAGGGTGAGGGGTTGGGACTGAAAGTTCCAAGATCCTAACCCTGCCTCTGTCTTCCTGGTGACCAGCCCCCATCCTAAAGTTACTCAAGAGCCTACCAATAGTCACCCTACTGGAACACAGACACTCTATCACCCAGGAAATTCCACGGGATTTAGCAGCTGTGTCAGAAACTGCGAGATAAGAGACCAAATATATGTTTTTTTATGTCATAATGCTCAGTGAATATATGTTGAATGAATGTGCCAGTGAATGAGATAACTGTGATTTGGGCATATTCTGAGAAAAGGAAGGAAAAGGAACACTTCAATAATCATGAATTTATATACATTTTTTTATTATCAAAACAGCTGAAGACACCTACATTGCCAAGCCAAAATTAGAAGTGTTTAGAAAATGGTTCCCTCTAAGGAGAGAAATGTAAGTCCACTACTAATTCTACATGAAATCAGCTTTACAAGAAAGCAGATCTCTGATACGGAGGGGAAGCCGTGAGTACTGTGCAGTTACCGTAACAGAAGAATGGACTTCAGTACCAGAAGACAGAGCCTACAAAATGTGATTCTCCTTGGCATGCCTTCAGCGATGACATTATTTTAGGTGATAGACTAATAACAGGAATGCAAATATGATGCATGTCATTGTAGGAGGTGTCAGATATTTTACACACAGTTGACATCACACATCACCCTCTCACTTAGAGCACCTGTGGGGAAGGGGATCCAGTGATTATCTCTCATTCCAAACTCTGACTCTACCTGGGGCCTGCACATCCTCCAGACTTCCTCCACTGAAAATCACCAGGAATGAGGCTCCAAAAAATAAAAGGATAAAGACTCAGAGGTCATCAAAATGGAAGTCTGTAGCTGTTACTAAAATTCAGGGAGTAGGAATTTCAATCCTGAAGTCACATATAATCCACTTTTTAAAAATATCTTGGGAAGGTAGCAAAAATGAAAGTTCAGTCTGGCCTAATTAACCTGATTCCTGAGTTGAAAGCCAGATAAAATCCTGGATCACAAAGAGAAGAGTTTTGTTCATCTTATTTTAATACAGTAGAAAGCTGCTGGTTTTTAAAAAAGTATTAAAATGGTAAATCTTACAGTATGTATAAAAAACCTCACAGACCCTTCATCAGTCACAGCATTGAATAATGATCTCTATTTGTTCTTTAAAATAGTTGTTGAGAAATAGTCAACTCTAGTGCCAAAACCATGAAAAGGAAATCCTGCAGGAGGACCCTAAAACCTGCAGCAATCCATTTTCATATGCCTAGAGAGGCTGATATACAGGAATAGTAAAGGTTTGTGTGCAGGTTCCTTTTTAAGTGGCATCCAGACTGCATACCCTTTAATTGGCTGAGAAGTGCAGGATGTTAAAAAGCACAAAGGCGGCCTTTTCCAGTTTTTAAGTTACTTCCAGTCATAGAAATGTGATGCAATTGGAGTGCATTGGGTAGCTTGGTAGTTAGAGGCGATGGATTCCAGGGCTGTGCTGGCGAGTTCCCTGATTTGGTCTGCAGCCCTCCTAGAGTTGCTGAATAGGAGCCATGGCCCCTGAGGAGCTCCGGGGTGGTCCAGGCTCCCTAAGACCTTTAGAACCAGGGAAGGGATGGGCTGAGTGTATGGCCCCATGAGTCAGGCCTGCTCTTTTGTCCCAGTTTTCTGTTGCTATGTAAACAAAGAACTCCCAACTTAATGGCTTAAAACAGTGTGGGTTCACTGGGCAGGTCTCTTGGGGTGTCTCAGGCAGTTGCAGATGTGTGTGGGCTCTTGAAACATCTGGTCTTCTCAACCACATCTAGTGACTGGGCTTGTATGATTTGAAAGCTGGGACTGGTCAGGATCTGCCCTCTCCACATGGCTTCTTGGGCTTCCTCACAGTCTCAGAATAGTCAGACTTTCACCTGATGGCTGGCTTCTTTCACAGCAAGAGTGCCACGGGAGAGGGAGTGGAAGTCGCCAGCCTCTTAAGACCAAGACCTTGAAGGTAACACAGCATCACTTCCACTATTGGATAAGCCATCAGAGCCACCCAAATGCAAGGGAGGAGACATAACCCTCAGGTCTTGAGGGACAAGTGCCACAGAATTTGTGGCAACTTTAAATCCTCCACATTCTCCCACCAGGACCCAGGACCCAAAGGGTTTGTTCATAGTGGGATACTATCCAAGTCCGAATTCATAATGAGCTTCGTATGGTAGCTCTTTATGCATGAATAAGAATTTTCCCTCCCCATGTCTCTGTGAGATAGTAGGTTGGATAATAAGGCAACTGAGGTAAAGAGGTTAAAGGCCTAGGATCACACAACTTCCTAGGGACAGAATTGAGGCAGACACCTGAATCTTTTGACTGGTAGTCCATGCTGAGCTCTTCTGGCTTACTTGTTTACCGAAGCCTCTCTGCTCTCTGACACAGACAGAGCTGTAGTGGAGAAAAGCACATTTCCCTTTGTCTGAAAATCTGGCTACAGATCTTTGCAGTTGAAGCTCAAGATGCAAGCAAAGGTAATGTTACTATGGCTGCTCAGCCCTATCCAACCAGCAAGGACTCTTGAAGCCACTGTACTGGCCTTCACTCTTGGGAAACTCATTCCGGATCCTCCAGCGGCAACAGCTGGGCAGGATAGCGAAGTCTGCCAGGTCCTGGGAGCCGAAGCGCCAGGTGGCATAGCACCTGTAGGCACAGTGCCGCAGCCGGCGGTTGGCGCTGTCCTCATCCAGCGCGAGCAAGGGCTCCTGGTAGAGCAGGAGGAGCTGCAGGGCACGTCTGGACAGGACAAGCTCCCTGAACAGCGCTGAGGTAGTGATGCAGGCACCTGCCTCCTTCCGACAGCACAGCTCCTCGATGCATTGGCGGTTCTTAGGGAGTTGGGACGGGAGGCAGTTTCCACACTTGCACCAGTTGGGGCTGTTAGATGTCGGAGTCACCACTTCTTTAAGCAGCTGCATCTCCTCTGGCTGTCCAGGAATGGGGGGTGGGACTGGGGGAGACAGGGGCAGCCTGGACAAGTCTGTGAAATCCATCAAGGGTCTCTGTAAAAGGCAAGTTTCCAAACCCATCAGCCATGACAACTCTTAGAGGTCTGGGTTCTTAATTTTATTATTTAACTTATAAAATTATATTTAATACGACATCAATACTAGTAGCTAGCCTGTGTGAAATGTATGTATCAAGTAGTCTTTCACAAGCATTGTCTCATTTAAGCCTTCGAAGAATCTCATGAGCTGTGTGTCATCATGTCCGCTGCACAGATTTAGAAAGGGAAATTCTGAACAGCCAGGCCGCAGTGCGGGCATCACCTCTTCAGAGAGACCTTCTTGCTCTGACTACCCAAGTTAGGTGCTTCCCCTCCCCTAGACCATTTTCTTGCTGCATGATGAGGGCCTACATTCTTCATAATGCTGACTGCCCTCTGAAATGATCTTTTTAATCAATGTGTTTACATGATGATTTTTCTGCATGAAAGCAGGGGCCCTGTCTGTTTTATTTATTGTCATACCCCTGATGCGAAGGGCAGTACCCAGCAAACTGTAGACAGTAAAAATTGGTTGACTTAGATCCACTCTCTCTTTTCCCACCAGGCCCGTCCTTCTGGCGAATCCATTTGTTATGCTCCAAGAAAAATGGTCATAACTGCCATCATTTATATATGTCTATTCTTTGTGACATTATACCTACTTTCCTTCACCAGACAAAAAAAAAGTCTTGAGTCAAGTACCTTAAAAGTGAATAGTTCTTGTACACAAATGTTCACAGTAGCACACCTTAGTTTCAGTCTTTTAGCCTCCAGAACTGCGAGAAGAGGCCATTTCTGTGGCTTTAAGCTACTTAGTTTGTGTAATTTATCATGGCAGCCTGAGAACTAATGTGTTAGTGAGGATGTCCAACAACCAGAACGGCCAGGGAGAGTGTGAATTGGAACACCCACTAAGAGAAGTGTTCAGCGATAGCTACTGAAGCTGAACACACGCCTGCCTGGGGACTTGGCAGTTTCCCTTCTAGGAGCCATATGCTTACCATAGCGGCAGCATCGGCGTGGTCACCAAATGGAAACTACCCAAGTGTCCATCAGCAATAAAAGGGAAAAAATAAACTGGATGTTTGTAAAATAGAAATTACACAAGAATGAGAACGAGCTCTTGCTATAGGCAACATCATGGATGACTCTAACAAAAATAATGTTGAGTAAAAGAAGCCAGACATTCAACAGAGTATATACTGAATATATACTATAGGATTCAAATTTTATAAAATTCTAGAAGAGGTAACCACCTGAAACTAATACAATGTTGAATGTCAACTATAATTGAAAATTTAAAAAAATTTTTTTAATTCTAGAAGAGGTAAAAACTAACCTTTGGATATAAGGTAATGATGACTTTTAAGGGAGGGTAGTGATTGGGTAGAGACATCAAAGGGAATTCTGCTAGTAATACTCACTTTTCTCATCTGGGTGCTGGTTACCTGTGTTAAACTTCATCAAGTATGATTTGTATAAATTTCTAGATGTATTTGTATTTACTAGTAAGTTTTCTTCTTTTTTTTTTTTTTAAACAAAATGTTTTAACTTACTGGGACTTTTCTGCCGTTGACATCTTGCAGACTTCTCCCAAGTAGCTGTTCGTCCACCATTCTGATGTGGGATTCATCCACAAAGGACACATATTTTAATGTCTAGGGAAAGGAGTTTAAAATTTTTATCTTTTTTGTATAGAATTATTAAGAATTGCATACCTGAGCATAACATAAAGTCAAGTATTATTCTCATTTACCAAGTGACAAACTGTTAAACAAGTTAACCAGAAACTCTTGTTGACCAAGAACAAATGATTTCTGAGTTTAAAGGTAAATCAGAAATGGAACCTCATACACCTTAATCTGTGGACTCACCAGGGTATCCACAACTTACTTCCTAATGTTTATAGGCACCCTGCCAAGCACTATGTAAAGTTTTTTTGTTATGCTCCCTAAATTTAAGTTACTCTAGATTGACTATCTCCAGAAAGTTACATTCTTGCAACTTAAATTATTTATATTTTCATTAAATTTCATCCTGTATTGGGCCATAAAATAGTGATTATTTTTAGCTGCAAAAATGAACTTTTATTTCAAATTGTGTGTAGATGCACAGCAGACAATGACTCATGCATTCAGTGGCTAGAAAAGGACTGAATTGTTCTTGGATGAGGGAAAGACAGAGAAACCCTCTTTGTTGTGCTTGTGTACCAGAGTTTTCTCATTGGTTGGGGGAAATCATGGAGCCGAGTGTCAAGTAACTGCTTAGTAAAGTCCCAATTCAACCATCAAAACAACACAGGTGAGCTGAAGTTCATTAGTCTCATCCCTTATCCTAGGCCCCTCTCCAGAAGGAATCACAATCACTTTTGTGTGTGTCCAGTGCCTCTTTGTATGTATATATAACCCCCCCACACATATATGTGTGTATAATACGTGTAAAATTATAGAGAATAAGTAACAATATATACAATATATATGTATGTGTATATATGTATGTGTATAAAATACATGTAGGCAATACATAGAATTAGTTTGTGTGTGTAGTTATTTTGTACCTATATCATACCATACGTATTGTTCTGTAGTTAGCTCGTTTCCTCTCAAGAAAATGTCTTGGATACTTGCCAGCACCTATAACATAGCGGTTATGAGCATGGGTTCTGAAACCAGCCTGGTGGAATTTCAGCTCAACACTAACTAGCTGTATGATTTTGGGCAAACTATTTCACCTTCCTGTGCCTCAGTTTCCTCATCTATAGAAAGGGATAATAGTATCACCTGTCTGTAGCATTGTGAAGATTCAGTGAGTTAGTATCTATAAAGCACTTTGAAGCGCTGTATAAACATTCACTATTGTTTTGATCTACCTCTTTCTTTTAAACTGGTGCCTGGCGTTTCTTGCTATGGATTTATCATAGTGCAATGCACTGCGCACTGATTGGGGCAGAAGCTCTTTCTTCAGCGACTGTTGCACCGCAGGAACACCTTACAAACGCGTAGCACTGTTAACACTTGGGTTCTCATGTGAATGTTTCTCTAGGGCAGGTGGGGAGTGTGGAAATGCTGGGCTGTACAGTGTGTCCCTTTTAAATGTCATTAGATACTGCCAAGTTGTTCTCTAAAGTCATTATGTGATTTTTTTTGTCTGTACCCACTTAATAAATCTGATAAAATTGACAAGTTCTGGAACGTAAAAATCTGTTCTTCCTCTATCTTGCCTCTCCATTTTTGTTTCTATTCTTCCCTAAGACCAAAGGTTGCATCTGAGAGATGGTGGAATGGGGTCAAGGCCAGAGACTAGTTCACCCTGGGTTCACACCTCTGAGGCTGGCCTTGTTTTTGTGCACGTCTCAGTGACGGTGTTTGGGCACCCACAGACAGAGAGCCTCACCCGCTTTGGCTCCATGATGACCTCGCACTTCTTCCTATTGTAATACTCGTTGACTCTGCAGCCTTCACAGCACTTGCAACAGGGATAAATGAAGGATCGACAACATGCACTCGAATAAGCGTTGATGAGAAAGTCAATGAACACAGTGGCCTGGGAAGAACCCAGACAAGTGCCACGTTAGTGAAACTTCTTTTTGCCAAAGCATTAGCATAAAGCACGGGAAGGAGAAGGCCTTACCAAACCAAAGTAGGAGAGGGTCGAGCCGATGTACACGATCAGCGGGATAATGTCAAATTTTCCTCCCTGAAAACAGAGTGGGAAAGGTTACTCAGCTGAAATTCAGAGCGACGCTCTTTTTCTACCATGTCATTGTTAGGGCCAGGAAAGGGGGGCGTCTGATGCTATGACTTTGACAAATGCATCCACAGTGTTCAAAGCAACAGAGGCTGTGGAAACTGAGAATAGGACTCTCATTCTGCCTTCCCAGATGTGCTTGAAAACATGAATGTTTTAAACAAAGCTGCACTGGGACCCACACTGAGAGGAGACCCACGGAAGGTTGTTGTTTCAGACAAGGCGAGGGTTTCAGACAAGCTTTCCCTTAAAGTGGTCTGAGGTTACTTAGGAAGAGAAAGGAAGGAATGTCTGCACAAACTCTTCCCTTAGGTGTCCTTGTGGTCTTTATTTTCAGTGGCCTTTCTACCTTCTCAGCAGTGTCTCATTGATTATTGCGCTGCTCATCACCATGTTGCATAGGTAATGTGCTGTCGGACAAGGTGGCATGGGCAGGTGTCAATTTTTTGCATGTATAGCAACCCCGTCTTTCCTTCTTCTGGAGACAGCGCCCCAGTTTTCCTTTGGAGAACTAACCCTGTCCATACTTGGTGTGGGGGAGACTATTCCATGATGTGAGTGCTGTCTGACCTGCAAGCTGGACTCTGGCTGGAGCAGAGACTGCTTACCACGACCCCCCTTAGAGACGGATCACGATCAGTGCTCATTCTGACATAAAGCAGCACCCCTCCTGCCTCCTGCTGCCTGCTGGTTCCTGGAATGGGCCGTTGTCCTGACCCCACCAAGCATGTGAAATAATTGCCCGTACCTGGCAGCATTCACGTATTAGTACCTGTGGCTGTCCCCTTTTCACCCTATGGAATCCTCGGGCACATGTTAAGTGGCTCAGGGGCCCATTTTGTCTTGCAGCTGCCCAAGATGTGCTTTGTATGTAAGTTTCCCTTCATAAACTCTCACTAGACTGGAGTAGCCTGCCTCTTTCTTCAGTCTTTCCCTGACCTCCACTTACAGAGATAGATTTTCAGTCCCAGGACCTTCCCCTGGGTCTGTGCGTACTAACCCTTGGTCCATATAGTTTGCGGGGGAAATGGCTGGGTCAGAGCTGGTCCAAGACCAGCCATTGAGAGTATGGCATAATGCTGGTCACAGCGATTAGATGAAGTTGCTAACCTGGTAAGATAAAAGGAGCTGCCTTCCACCACCACACAGAGCTGGACAGCAGGGGACGATGCCAGAGCAGAGAGCAGATGTAAGAGATGGAGCGAGGCAGGTCCTTGATGATGCTGTTAGAGGATATGGATCCAGCTATGCTGGAAACTGAAATGGCCCCTGTACCTTTCAGTGATGTGAACTAAAAAAAAGAAGCCTTTTTTTTCCAAAGCCAGTTTGAGTTGGCTTCTGTTACTAACTACTTTACTTTGTACAGGGATTTCTTTCTCCCCCTTTTTTTTAAAGCATCAGGAGACTTTTAAATAGAATATTATGTATTTTTCCCCATCTCACTCTTGTGTTCATCAGATGGCTGTTCATGGACAGACCCTAGGACATTTTTTTCCCCTGCTCTTATCCCACATGTGAGATGCACAGTACCAGCTTCTGACTGTCACCAAAACGTTCACCCCTTGAGGCACTACAGCAACAGTTAGGACACAGTTGTAGAAATGCAGATGCCCATGGCTGGGAGCAGAGACTTACGGTGCCAAAGACCAGGATGTCAAAACGGATCCCAAAGACTTTTATCAGAGTCCGTTTTTCAACATTGTTTTCCTTATAGTACTTGGCGTATCTGTAGGAGGAGAAGGAGCCGTATTTATAAAGTTCTGTCTGAAAGTGCAGGAGTTTTATGAAAAGAAAAATCAAGACAATAGCTGATTTAGGCTTCCTTATCCATCTTCTAGCTCTGCCGTTGTTGGCAGCAGGAAGAACACAGTGCAAACCCATCCAAACCCATGAATGACTCTCTGACTGCCTGGAGCTGCAGGGCCACTTCCCCACGTCGCCCCTCTACTGCCACCACACAGAGTGAGGAGAAGTCTGCTTTTTGTTTAACATTAACAGGAACAGCTTTTAACCAACAACACAGGATTTTAAAAAAGCAGAGATTAAAAAAAAAAAAAGCTCCAAGCAATTTGATTATTCCTTAAGAGAGACAAAGAGGTTTTCTAGAACAAAGTGTTGGTGGGGGGGGTGAATCTTAGATACTAGTCATTGGACTGAGGACAGCTATCTCAGCCATCTGTTCTGACTGTATTCTTTTAGATTCTGTATATTTGTCTATTTGGCATCCTTTATGACAGGGTCATATTAACAACTGAAGTTGTTTACATCTTCCCTACAATCCAGCTTTTGCGAGTGCATGAAAATGACGTTACACACTCTCCAACCAATCCTGAGTCCATATCCCCAGCCATCAGCCAGGGCCAGATACCAGACAACCAGAGACCTCCCTGGAGCCCAGAACTTGCCCATGTTACTCAAGCTAATCCATGCTAAGCTCTTTCCCCTGGCTTGCTTGCCTCTCCCCAGGCAAACGCAGTAAGGGCTCTGGGTCAGGCTTTCCCCTCGCTCCTGCCTCCTGACCAAACCCGGTGCTTCCCCCTGTGGCCCTGTGTGGCCCCCTCCTTTCTGGAAATGTAATAGAATTCTTCGTTCTATGGCAGTCACCTCTCCACGTCATCACTCAGATTTAATCTATAGTCTCCCTATAGATTAAAACCCAAACACAAATCATAACCACTGCAAATATGCACCTCTCACCAGGGCTACTGTCAGAAAATGTGTTTTATTTTTCATGAACAATTAGGGAAGCTTAAAATCAAAATCCTCAAGAAACTTTTAAATCTGTCCCTCCCTCTTACCACCTTTCAGTAGTTGTTTTTAGGTAAAGGTATATATTTTCTTTCTGTGTTACTATTTCAGTTTTTTACAGGTGCGGGGAGAAAAGGAAACAAGACAGGTACTCTGCCAGGATACAGTATAGAGCATCTGAAACTTTTTTCTTTTTACTCTCAAAATCTGACATTGAGATCGGTTAGAAATTTTCAAATGCTTTAACGTGTTTCCGGCCAGAGATGTTTCACTATCTTTGCATTTGATTGTTCTCATTCCATGACAGTTCTTTCTTCTTCTCCTCTGTTGAGTGATTTGTGTTTTAATGCACAGAGCAGGCATGCATTCCACTCCATGCCCTGCAGTTGCATTGTCTCTGCAAGTTCGTTTGGGAAGGTTAACACTGTACAGTATAAATACTCAAATTTCTGCTTTCAAGGTTTTGATGGAGTGATTCTCAACCTGAGGGCAAGAATCACTTGGGAAGTGTGTTCAAAGGCAGATTCCTGGGCCCTATACCCACAGGGTGGTTTCAGAAGGTCTGAGATGTTTCTCAGAATCTGTTTCCAGCAGAGGTACCAGGTGGTCCTGGTGCAGGTGGTCAGGGGGCCACACTCTGAAAAATAGTAAGCCCTGGGCAAGGATTTTTTTGCACATTGTAATGGGTTAAAGGGCCTCTCCCCAAAACATTACATCCAAGTACCTAACACATGTACCTGTGAATATGACTTTATTTGGAAATAGAGTCTGCAGATGTAATTAAGGATCTCAAAATGAGATCATTCCTGATTTAGGGCAGCCCTAAATCCAATGACTCGGGTCCTCACAAGAGAAAGGAAGGGGAGGGCTGAAACAGAAACACCGAGGAGAAGGCCGTGTAAAGGTAGAGGCAGATGCTGCAGAGACGCAGCCACAAGTTAAGGAACGCCTAGAGCCATCAGATGCTGGAGGAGGCAAGGAAGCGTCCTCCCCAAGAGAGTTCAGGGGGAATATGCTCCTGCTGACCTCTTGATTCTGGACTTCTGTCCTCCAGAACTATGAGAGAATAACTTTCTGTTGTTTAAGCTGCCACGTTTGTGGTAATTTGTTACAGCAGACCCGGGAAACTCATACACACACATACCCCTTCTGAATCAGAGGAGAGCATCAGGCATTCTGTGTGGGTCTGCTCTAGCTACACATCCTGTAAATAAACCAAGTCATGTGTTCACCTAATAAGGACTTTTGCGATGGACATCTTTTGGTAAAAGACAGAAATTGTGTAATGTGATTGGCCCCATCAAATTCCTATGTTTTACAAAGTAATATTTTTTCATACACCTCATATAACCCATAATTGCCTTCCCTTTTATGTGGTGTTTAGACAATTTATTTTTGGCTACATATTTCTTCTGGTGACAACAAATGTTCTAACACTTTGTTCTAAAAGAATATTAGCATCATAACAATCTCAGTTCTTCAGAAAGCTCAGACCTCTTCAGGAGCTGATGTTCTTAGGCTTAGCTCGGCGGGCGACTTGAAGGACATTTGCTAGCATCTGGTCAGTACATTGCCCTCCATGCTTCTGCTGATTGCTAAGAAAACAGCCTGCGAGGGCAGTCAGGGACCACTGATCCCATCCTCTCTTCTTGCTAACGGCCATAAGCCTAGTTGGCAGAGCAGCGGGGGATGAACAAAATGTTACCAAGACTTTGAGCTGGTTTCAGTGCCCGGGAAGAAACTCCACTTTCCCAGGGGAGGCAAACAGCCTTTCATGTCTTGATCTCAACCAGCCTTTAATCAAGGATTTCAAACTCCAATTCCTACAGGGGCCCAGCAGGTAACAGAAATGAGTCATGCAGGCTGGGTATAGGGCAGTAAGGAGTGGTGGGCAAACCCCAAATCGTGCTCTTTCTAAAGGGAACCACTAATAATATCTCCAGCTGAGTGCTGCTGTGTGGACTGTGAACTCAGCGTCGTCAAATGGTTAAATTTCTTTTCTTCCAAATAGTTTAATTTTTCAAGAAAAGCAGGAAGTCTAAATTTTTATATAGACTGTCTCAGCTTTCAAAACATTATGCAGTCCAACAAGTAAATAAATATTATAAGCATATACATATATACATAGTTGAAGGCTGCTTACCGGTTTATGACATTACTTTAACATCTAAGAAGAAAGTACTTTTTGGTGCTAGGTGATAGTAGTCAAGACCCGTGCCTCTTAAACTTTAATGTGCCTGTAAATCTCCTGGGAATCTTGTTAAAAAGGCAGATTTTGATTCAGTGAATCAAGGGTGGGGCCTGAGATTCTGCAGCGTAACAAGCTCCCAGGTGAGGCCCGTGCCTCCAATCCCAGGACCGCCCTTTGGCGGCAAGAATTTGGAGTGCCGCAATACCGAATTGTAAGTGCGCTATGGTCTCATATAAGCCTCGTGAAAAAATGGGTCACACGAAGGAACATTCACCAGAGGGTTATCGATTATCTCAGGGTGAAGGAATTAACAGTAGTTTTTAATCCTCTTCTCTGTGCTCTTCTCTGTTTTCCCCAGTAGTGTTTTCTTTTACAAAGAGTGTGCATCTCTTCAATAATTAAAAAGAAAAATTCATTCACCACCTCGATCTTAGAGGAAGTCCTTTCCATTCATCCTGTTGCCTTGGGAACCAAATCTAGGCTTACTGACTACTGGGGATGGCACAATTCAGCAGGGCCTGGCAGGCCCCTGGGGAGTCCAGGTGGTCAATCCGACCTTGGGCACTGTTACCTGAAGTTGTAGCCAGGGTGCAAGGTCTCATTGGTTATCTTGTCGTCAAGGCGACGGAACCTGTATTGTGGACGGCAGTGATGGAACCAGCGGTCCAGGTTGCAGTCCCAGTAGATCTCAATGCCCATGATTCCTCCCTGAGGAAGACAACAAGAGGCGATCTCTAAGTCCTGCTGGACGTGGGAGGCAGCCACCAGACATCTCCCCGCATAATGATGATTGCTCAAGGAAAGGTTTTCTTTTTGGAGGAAAAAGTGGCGCTTAAAGGTTTCAAAGCCATGAGCAAGCCCTATCTTACTCACAGTTATTACGGAGGCAGCTGCAAAGGCAGCCACCTGCTCCTCCTCCTCAGCCTCTTGGCCATTTGACATCTTCCATCCCCCAACACAACCCCTCTCCCACACCTCACGGTACAAAGGCACCACCAACCTGAATTGCCACTTCTGAAAAGTTATCTCCTGTTTCTTGGAAAATATCTCCTAGTCGGAAAATGGGGCACAGTGGATCCTTAGTCTTGTGAAAGATGCAAGTCTTGTTGAAATCTGGCAAGATGTTTCTCCTGCACATCATGAAAAGCAAACAAACGTTCCCATCGAAGACCGGGATCTGTCTCTCCAATAGAATGAGCCAGGGGAGTGACTGGGCTCCCCAAGGGCCCCTAGTGATCCCCGCCTCCTGGTATTCTCACCCTTGTGGGGTCCCCTTCCACACTGTAGCAGGGTTGGTCTGTGTGACTAATAGCATGTGGCAGAAGTGATGGTGCATCGCTTTCAAGTTTGGGTTATGAAAGACTGTGACTTCCACGTTGGTTCCTATCAGGCTTGCTCGCTCTGTGTCTCTCTTGGATCATTCGCTCTGGGGGGGCCATCATGTCCTAAGGACACTCAGGCAGCCCTAGGGAGAGGCTCACATGGTAAGGAACTGGGCCCCCTGGCCAAAAACCACAGGAGTTCACTTGGAAGAGGATTCCCCAGCCCCGGTCAAGCCTGGAGATGATTCCAGCCCCGTTGACAGCTTGGCTACAACCCGAGAGACCCCGAGCTAGAACTGCCCAGCCAGGTCGTTCCTGGATTCCTGGTCTACAGAAACTGTGTGAGATAATAAATGTTTGTTGTTTTAAGCTCCTAACTTCAGGGGAAACTTGTTACACTGCGGTAACTGGCAATATGGACAGACATTCGGGGCACTTACGTGGTGTAATTGTGGCCAGGGAAGTCAATATTGTTCTTGATGAACACAGTGAAGTTTTTGGCACTGTTCAAGAGCGCAGGCCTGAGAGAGAGACATGCAACATGGGGATCGGTGACTGTAGGCACCATGGAGTCAGCGGACTGGTGGGGCCAGAGGCTTCTGGTCTCTTGCTTAGGTCATTGCGATGAGTGGAGAGAAAAGCAACCTAGTGCGCAAAACCTCCTGACATTCTCCAACTTTTCCAGTAAGAACATCTCCCTTCTTGAGATCCCACAGCCCTTCTCCCACGCTGATGTAATTAGGTGTTTAGTTTGGGGCAGTGGTGTCCTGGTAAATGTTTACCAACCAGCACTCCAGAAAAACCAAAGCCCTGATATGTAGCATTTACTGATTCTTATGGTATAAATACTCCCACCATGTCTGATTTCAGGCTACCAATGGGACATCCCTGAACTTGGAGCTGGGGGGAAGGAATGAGCATATTTGGCTCAGACGTGGTACAAGTCAGCTCCATCACAACCCACTTTATCTTCCCCAGTAGGCTTGGTGTTCCCGCAGGGCTGGGACAAGACTTTTCCTCTTTTACCTCCCCTGCTTTCACATAGGGCCGCGCATGTAGTTGACCCTACTGGTCATTCTCTAGAGGCTCTGAATAGCGTAAAATTCTGCATGAGTTAGAGGAGCCCAAATTCTAGACTGCAGGAAGATCTACCCATCATCCATCCATCTACTCATTCAACAAATAATTATTGTACTGGGCATGGAACTAGACGTTGGGGGTTATAGTGACGAATAAGATCATTCAGGTTTTTGTCCTTATGCAATTGACAGTCTGGTAAAGATGGAGAGAACTGCCTGTGGATGAAAAGGTACAGCCAGTACCCTGTTGCCTGGCATGCCTCAGTAGGCAGAAGATATCTATTGGGGGTAGCACCAGGAAAGTGTGGAGGGAATTTGGAAGGGGGCACCAAGAACAATTGTTTTTTTATTCAAGGATCCCCAGAGCACACCTTTGGCTCTATTTGGGATGTGACTACAGAGAACAGTGTAATTTTTGCCCGTTCAGTGTCCATTCCACCTCTGTCAGTAGCCCCTCAATTTTCTCCCTTTGGGGAAGCCAAGCCTCTTCCACTCTCAGCCTAGGGGGTGGGGTGAGGATGAGTCCATCTCCTACTCATCCCTACAGCTCCTGGGGTGGGCAAGTGACCCAGAGCCGGCCAAACAATATAATCCAATTTCCTTGGCCAGTGTTTGGTTCACAGATTGTCACATGACCTAGGCTGATGAGAACGTTCCAGGGCTTTTGTAGAAACTACTGGGAAAGAACAATTAATTTTCTTTTGGACAAGCAGTAGTAAGGACAGTGTAAACTGGAGTTCCCCAGACCACAGCGTGGACCAAAATGGAAGAAAGGACAACTTGGGGGGAGGAAGAAAGAAAGAATCTTAATGACCTTACTTGAAGCCTGGATCAAGGCTTACTTGAACCCATACTTCTGGGCTTCTTATTTACACAAGTCAAAAACACAAGCCAAAAAGTAACACTCCTTTTTTTCTGAAGCCAGCTTAGGTTGTATATCTGTCACTTACATAAAAGAAAATCTTATTTATGGCAAATGCCTGCTGTATGACAGACCATTTAGAACATTCTAAATCCCATGCTTCCTAGGCAACACTCTAAGAATCAGAGGAATACAGGATCCTGAAACTTTGAAAATCAAAGCCTTTATTCCTCTTTCATGATACTTACAGTTTTCCATTTTGAATTACAGCTCTCTGTGCACATATCTTATCTCATTTATTAGATTGTAACAGTCTTGGGACCTGCTCCATATCTGGTTCTTTTTGTATTTTACATAAAATTTAGCACAGCCTCTTGTGTATAGTTACACATGAAATAAACATTTAACACATACAACATGTTAATGGATGTGTTGAATGAATGAGTTATTACATGAATTATTTTCATAACTCTTTCATATAACATATAAGAAAGCTGAAGTTCAGCCCTGGCTGGGGTGGCTCAGTGGATTGAGCGCTGGCCTGCAAACTGAAAGGTTCCCTGTTCAATTCCCAGTCAGGGCACATGCCTGGGTTGTGGGCCAGGTCCGTGGTTGGACGTGAGCAGGAGGCAACTAATCTATGTTTCTCTTGCATATCGATGTTTCTCTCCCTCTCTTCCTTTCCCTCTTTCTAAAAATAAATAAATAAAATCTTTAAAAAAAAAAGCAAAAGAAAACTGAAGTTCAGGAACTTGCTTGCCCAAGGTCACGTAAAACTGCAGGCATCAGCACATTGGAGGTGCACAGCACTTTTACTGACAAATGATTGGTGGCAGAGCCAGAACTGAAAACCACAGAAAATCAAGAGGCCCCTTGTCTTGAACCAGGGAGGATCTGAGTAGGCTAATGTCACTGAGTATTTCCTTCTTTAATAAAGAAACTTCTCTGACCTAGAAAAGAACCTGGTGATGCCATTAACTGATTGAGGGTCAGACAGGCTGACGCTGCCTAGTGCTTCCCACTCTGACACTAGGGACCTTCTAAAAAGTTAGTTTGTGGAAGTCTTTGCCCCACAGATTCTGATGATGTGGCCTGAGTCACATTTGTGTAATTCTGTGCTGTCCAGTAATGTCCAACATCCCCTAGGCAAGTGTGACTAATTAAATGAAGATTACATGAACTTCAGCAGCTCAGTTGTAGTAGCCACATTTCAAGTGTTCATTAACCACAGGTAGCTAGTGGATACCATACCAGATAGCACAGAAAGAGAACATTTCCATCATTGTAGAAAGTTCCATTGAACAGCACTAGAACCACCAAATTTCTAGGAGCAGACCGTGTGTGTGTGCACACGCATGTTATTGAGCACTTGCTATATGCCAGGCACTGGCTCACTTTGCAGTCACTACACAGGTATCATTGCATATAATTCTCACCACAGCCTAGTGAGGTGGGTGCAATTATTATGCTCAGCTTACAAATGAGGAAATTGAAGTTCAGAGAGATTGAGCCACTTGCCCAAGGCCACACAGCAAGGAAATGTTAAGAGTCAGGATTTGAACCTAGGTTTCTCTGTTCTCTGTTGAAATGCATTAGTCCCTGTTGTTTCTGAGTTTAACATCAAGTTCTGCCTCTGGGCCTGACCTTGTGTGTTAAAGAGAAGAGTCACTACGGGGACCACCAATTCTGCCACTGATGGTTTAAGAGAACTTCCTTTCCTCCTATTTTTTCCCCTTCCTTTATACTTTCTTCCTTTCTACTTTCTTCCTTCACTGCCACGTATCCATCCTTAATCAGTCAGTATGGACACAGACAAGCCAGAGTGGACCCTGCTGTAGCACTGGAGGCAGGGTCTGGAGGTGCCCTGGGACAGAAAGGTGACAGGTGCACCCCAGGGTGCTCAGTGTAGTAGTTATTTACCAGAGAGTGCAGAATTATTTCAGTATTTTACCTAGTGTGCCTAGTTAAAATATGGGGTCACCGAGCCAGTAGGACCCAGGACTTTGTGGTGCTGTCCTGAGAAGAGAAGCCAGGTCAGCGCCTGGCAGGGCCTCATCTACTCACGACCGAGGGTCACCACACCTGTCCCCACTCTGTAACTCACCGGGGGGCCTCTTCCGGTGCCTCGGTAGGACACCAGGCATAGACTTCACAGGTCTTCTGGTTTCCTTTATACACTATACACCTTCCAGTCTGGATTCCTGTGGGGTCAGGGGGTATGAGAAGCACATGTGGGAAAGAATCATGGGGAAGAAGCTCTCTTAACCCAAGCAGGAAAATATTTATGCTTTTCAACCCAAGAAGTTTCAGCTTCCATGAAACCCCATCCAAACCACGCACTTACATTAGGCGGACCAAGCAAGCAACACATCGAACAGCAGGCTTTTTAAAAAGCATCAGAGCGAACAGAGGAAGACCATAGATGCTGTTGGCCCTTTTGGCACCTTTGCAAGAAAAGATGCCTGAGAGGGGAGCTGGGTAGGGTGTACTCTCTGGCCTGGGAAAAGCGGACTGGAACCTGGCCTCTCACTGGGCATACGAGTCCCTGCGGGACTGCGCAGCCTGTAACAGGGCGCACAAGGGCGCAGCGTAAACATGGCACATCTTCCTGGAGCATCAGGGTCAAAATGATCTCAATACCAACTCAAACACACAGGTGTTATGGAATAGGATCAAACATTCGTATGTCCTTTTGTGTGCATGTTGTAATCACGGATGGTTTTTCTTTTCTTTTTATTTTTTTCTATGCTAGTTTTATTGTCATGTGCCCTTTGAGCTAAAACAAGAGATACGGACATTCTGCAGGTTAACACAAGTATGGCCCCCAGGTGTCCTGCGGGTACAAGTTCAAGTGCTACAATCTTTGGGGAAGTTCAAGACAGAAAATTTAGAATACTCAGATGTTGCTAGAAGCCATCTGATTTTTCTATCAGTTACAACCCAGAAGGTGCCAATTCTGCAAGGTTTTCAGGAGCTCTTCTCACTGGGGAATTAAGGTCACATTCATGTCAGTAGGTGGTCCTCTGGGAACAGAGCCAAGGCACAAGCAGACACAGGCTCTCCCAAGGCCTGGTGAGGGTAGAAGGGAGCTGAGAGCCAGAGTTAAAGATATGCATTTTAGGGCACTGCATATGTCACCAGGGTGCCAGACTGTCCACCCTCAGGGTTCCCCTCAAAAAAAACTGAACGTACCTTTGCTCTGTGGGTCCATCCATCCCTTTTTGCAACTCTTGTCAGAGTAACAGAGTGTCCTGCGGGTGGGATACTGTGTAGAGAAGAACAAGGTAGTGAGGAGTAAGTGTCATGTGTCCCTAAGTAATGGAAAAGCAGGTGTCTATGCCCACACAAAAGCTTGTACACAGGTGTAGGTAGCAGCACTATTCATAATAGCCAAAAAATAGAAACAGCCCAAACAGTCATCAACGAACGAATGGATAAATTAAGTGCAGTGCACTCATATGACGGGGGAATATTATCCAACCATAAAAAGGAATGAAGTACTGACTCATGCTGCAACAGGAGCCAACCTTAAAACCACTGTATTAAGTGACAGAAGCCAGCCACAAAAGGCCACATATTGTAGGATTCCATTTACGTGCAATGTCCAGAACAGGTGAATCCAGACAGGAAGCAGGTCCGTGGTGGCCAGCGGCTGGATAAGGGGGAATGGGGAGTGACTGCTAGCAGGTACGAGATTTCTTTTGGGGGGATGAAAATGTCCTGAAATCGTGGTGATGATTGCACAGGATTGTGAATATACTAAAAACCACTGAATTGTATACTTTAAAGTGATGGATTTTATGGTATATGAGTTATATCCCGATAAAAACCTAAAAAGCAGACATCATGGCCGTGTAGGACCATTTGCAGGGACAGCTCTCAGGGTGGAGAGCAGGTGGCCTGGCCCAGGCAGCTCAATGGCTGCAGAACTGAGTGAAGCGGACTGCGTGAAGGTCCAGCAGGAAATGTGGAAATGCAGGGCGCTGGCCAGTCCTCTCTCCTGGCCCGAGGAAACGAGGTCAGTCAGGTCTCAGGACCGAAGGTGAGGACGGGAGAAGGAAAAGAGAAATGCGACAACTTGGTTTCTGCGCATTCAACTTTCCATTTCCTAGGAAGCAGGTTCAATGGCCAGCCTTAGGGAAACCAAACGTGACATAGCCATTGCGAAACAAGTTATCTTCTGTGCAATCTGTGGCTTTTATAGAGATTTGACAGAAGGACTCAGGTACACCTGCTTTGGGTGATAGCTGCACCGTTTTCTAGCTGAATGACCTTGGTCAAGTCACTGCACCGGTCTGAGCCTCAGTTTCCTCATCTGTAAAAGGAGGATGTACAGATCTGCCTTAGGTGGTTTCTGTGAAGATTAAAAGAGCATTATTGAGAGAGATCCAAGGGGACGTTAGCTTGGTTCCAGGTTTAGGTAGAAATGACGGCAAAACCCTGGCTGGTGTGGCTCAGTGGATTGAATGTCCGCCTGTGAACTGAAAGGTAACTCCTTCGGTTCCCATTCAGCACACAGGCCTGGGTCGCAGGCCAGATCCCCAGTGGGAGGCGTGTGAGAGGCAATTGATTGACGTTTCTCTCATGCATTGATGTTTCTCTCTCTCTCTGTGTTTCTCCCTCCCTTCCCCGCTCTCTAACAATAAATAAATAAAATTGTTTTTAAAAAAAGAAGAGGAAATGATGGAGGAGAGAGAATATCTACCTCGAGCTCTCAGGCACTCAGAATCTAGACCTTGTCACCTGAGTGGGCTGATAAGCAAGACCCACGGGCAAGGCTGACCCTCCCACAGGCAGGAAACCCGCTCGATAGTGTCCCAATGCTGCACACCTCTGCGCTGGGATGGTCCCTGGCGTAGCACAGCATGTTACCTGAATGGGAAATGGCAGGAGGGCACGAGGAACAGGCAGCGCCTAGTAACACGTTGCTATAGATGAACGTACCAGAATAGCTACTTATCATCTTAAAGAAGAGAGGGCAGGACTGAGAAGGGACTGAATAGAACAAATACTTTTGATAGGGAAGAACGTTTTCCAGAAAGAGGTAGGGGAAGGTCAAGAATATGGAGAGGGCAAAGCCAAGTTGGGAAAGACTACATGGCGTGGGGCAGAGGGGGAGACATGCAGCTCAAAGAAGTGAGGTGAAAAGGCAGACTTGACGTGTCTGGCAGTGTTCCCACACAGACAGTTCCCAGTGGATCGTTGCAGGGAAAGCTGTCAAAGAGGACACCGGGGTTCTAAGCTTGGCTCTGCCTCCAGCAAGCTGGGTGACCTAGGGGAAGTCACTTAACCTCTCTGATCTGCATTCTGAGCTGTAAAACAGGGCTGGGAATGCTATTACCACCGCCCGCCTCCCTCAAAGTTGTGAGGCTCCACTAAAATGTGAAATGCTGCACAAAGGCCGAAGACCGGCGCTGTCTGAGCCTCGCAGGAGTGAGCAATGGAGGAAGCAGAACTCGAGCCCGCACAGGCTCCTGGTGCTGGAGCTGGAGACTGAGAGGACAAAGACCCAGTGGCTAGAGAGAGAACTGCAATGTCTTCGGACCCTTCTTCCACCCAGCCCAGACCTGCACCGCACAGAGGAGGCTCAGTAAGAACTTGTGAGCTCGAAGGCATCCCGGATCTCAGTTTCCACGCGCACGGGCCCTTTCTCTGACCCGCGCTTCCCTCAGGATTCCCATCACCAGTCTAACCGCTCTGGGTGCCCTCCTCACCTCGGCGCAGAGCCCCTGCTTCTGGTCTTCAGTCTTGAGAAAGTTTGTCATCACAAAGAAGGAGTTACCCTGCAGAGAAAAGGAGAGAAGTCAAATGAAAGCCTTTGAGAACAGAGCTGCTTAATCATCATAATCCAGCTTGCTAAGTGCCTGGGGGCGAACCTTTCTACTCGTCTAAACTTAAGTCTGGAAGCAATTTAGGGACCAGGCAGGGCTCATGTCAGAGCTGGATGAGCCGCCTGCTGAGCTGAGGGGGAGCAGCGGCATGTTCCCAGTGACTGAGCCCTCATTTTCGATTCTGGCTTCACAGCAAAATTGCATTAAATTGAAACTCAGGAGACCTGGGGAGGTGGAAATGGGGGTGTTGACTTGAAGAGAGTGCTGTTCAGATTATCCAGGACTTTAAATAAGGGGCAATAAGGCATCTCACCACCTGGAAAATAGCTCGTGGTTTTAATGACCCACTGTTAGAAACAAACAGCAGCTCGGACTTTGTGGTTTTGCAAAGCTTTCCAGCTCCCAGAGGCTGCAAATATGTATGGCCTTTTGTCCCTTCTGCACTCTGCCATCTGTTCTTTGGTGTTCTCAAACCCACTTTGATGTTTCCTTTTGACAATTCTAGTTTCATTTTCTCTTCTTGCAGATTTAGGCAGCCACATGTCCTTTGTCTGTGATCACACCCTTTCTTTCTTTGTCATCCATATCCTTCCTTTGTGCAAAAACATACCCAGGAGTGTTTTCCTGGAGACATTTTTGTTGACAGAATGACATGCTAATAATATAGCAGGGCCAGTCCTCTCCAGGCAGGAAGTTCTTTGCCCTTCTGAGTCTAGGGACACCTTGCTGGCTCGATGGCCCTGCTTCTAAGAAGCAGTGTGTAAATCAGTTTGAGTGAATCAAATCATGTTTTAAATGCACCAGGACACACAGCTATTTTGAGAAACCCTGCAGGACTTAATAAAGCAAAAAATCATCTCCTTTGAGCTGTTGGATCTGACCCAATTTTGCAATTTTTAGGTTTTCTCAGTTGGGAATCTTCACAGAGCTTTTTAAATAGGGCCCGTGTTTTTCTGGAGTGAGGCCCCAGGTCTCAGGGGAGGGGGCAGGGCCCTGAGGACAGTGAGCAGCGATGAGTCCTGGGAGGGTGCTGACCCGTGCTTACCTGCAAGGGGAAGGTGTAATCTGCCGTGTCGAAGATACTGGGCACCACCTTCTTCTTTCCATTCTCTATAATCTCCTCTTTCACCTCTGCTACCCCTTTCACCTTGGTGTGCACAGAACTGATAACAGACTCTTTCCTCTGGTACAGCTTGTCACTCACCAAAGCAAAGCTAAGTGGCAGACAGAGAAAAACATCAGTGATTTTCTCGAGGGAGGCACAGTGGTTTTGGATGAAGGCCACCTCCATCCAAATCCCAGCTTAGCTGAGTACCTTCGGGCCACTGACTGGCCTTCTCTGTAACCCATATTCCTCATGTGTAAGATGGGAAGAAGAGACATACCTACTTCATGGGGTTGCTGTGAGGGTGAACTGAGATATATATGCAATCTCCATAGCATTGTGTCTGGCACACAGCAAGCGTGCACTACATGGAAACTATTGCCAGCCTCTAATACTGCCTAATAAAGACCCTCATTTACAGGACATCTTTTTAAATGCCGGAGTCCACCCCCATGTCGGTCTACCAGCTTTGTTGCGGGACTCAGCAACACATCAGCACCTGCCTGAGGGCGTGTCCTGCAGGTTAGGCACCTGTTTTCCACAGGCACGTTTGGCATGTGAATAGTATTGATAATAGACGCTACCATTTATTGAACACGCCATATGTGCCAAGTGCTCTGCATGTGTCATCTCTTTTAACCCTCACAACAATAGGAGATAGTTACTGTAGTCATTACTCTCTGTAGATGAGGAATGGGCTCAGAGAGGTGAAGGAACTTGCCCAGGTCACACTGACAGTCAGTGGTAGTACTGAGGTTCTTGACGGGTAGAGCCAGACCTCTTAACTACATGCTTGTTCATGTGCGATGTGGCCCTGCCTCCAGTTTCCTGCGTTTTGGTTAGTTCGTTAGCTGTTAACACTTTATTTAGAATATGAATCTAACCCTGGCTGGTGTGGCTCAGTGGATTGAGTCAACAAACCAAATCCAAGTGGATTTTGGTTTGCAGGACCAGCCTGCAAACCAAAGGATCATCCATTCAATCCCCAGTCAAGGCACTTGCCTGGGTTGCGGTCCAGGTCCCCAATTGGTGGCATGCGAGAGGCAACCACACATTGATGTTTCTCTCCCTCCCTTTCTCCCTCCCTTCCCCTCTCTAAAAATAAATAAATAAAATCTTTAAAGAAAAGAATATTAATCTAAATTATTATGGTAGAAGCATTAGAGAAGGGAAGTAAAATTGATTGTTGAAAATGGTAAATTTCATCCCCATTGATATTTTCCCTGTCTCCCATTGCTCTGAGTCATTAAGAGTTTCCCCTAAAATCCCCCCCTCATTGATCTGCTAACAGTAATCAAGGCTCAACTACAAGAAGAGGGTGTACTCAGCCCACACAAAGGCTGCACCCCAAGTATCCAGCTTGGGTGTTAGGGGAGGCTGTGCCATTGGACTCCACCAGACACTTACTACTTAGGCCACACTACCAAGACACAGGGTCAAAGCAGCTAGCTCTACGTAATACAGAGAAACAAATATAAGGAGGCTGCCAAAACAAGGAGACAAAGAAACACGGCCCAAATGAAAGAACAGATCAAAACTCCAGAAAAAGAGCTAAACAAAATGGAGATAGCAACCTGTCAGATGCAGAGTTCAAACGCTGATTATAAGGATGCTTAAGGAACTTAGTCAGGACCTCAGCAGCATAAAAAAGACCCAGTCAGAAATGAAGGATACACTAATTGAGATAAAGAACGATTTACCAGGAAATAACAGTAGAGTGGATGAAACTGAGGATCAAATCAATGATTTGGAATATAAGGAAGCAAAAAAACTTCCTACTCCCTGTGACCTTTTGGCTCTAAGAAGCTACAGTTCTGTGTGCTCTGAAGCCTGCAAACCACAGGTCCTGGAATGAACAGGGGCAAGAGAGGGCTGGGGCTTTAGCCAGACCTTGTCGGATGGGTGGATGGAGACGATGCGGGGAGCGGCTGAAGGAGAGGAAGCGGCCGGGTGGATGGAGACGATGGGCAGATGGAGAGGGCTGACAGGAGAGAAGCCTGGGCTCTCACGGTCTGGCTGAAAAGGATGGGAGTGGGGGTGGGCGTGGGAGGGGGGATGGAGAGTGAGGTGGAGCCTGCAGGCTGGCCCACTGCACCGGACTCACCAGATGTAGAGGAAGATACCCAACATAAAGAGGTTCCTCAGAATTCCAAACCACAGGCTCTGAATTTGAATGACCTTCACGACTTTCACAGACTGGCATACGTGGAAGAATCTGCACCGTGCTGGCATGGTGAGAGGGGCCTCAAAGCGCTGCAGAAGGAAGTGTCTCTCAGCCTTGCCTGGCTCCCTGTCATTTGGCTGGGGCCCCCTGAACAAAGGTAACTAAAGTGAAAGGGCGTGACCTGACAGTGAACTATTTCCCAGCTGGTTAACAACCAACTAACCCACAGCAGCAGACTCTGGGCTGAGCCTGGGCCCTGTGCCTTCTGTGCCTTGTGGAGATGCTGGGCCTGCAGCCTCTGCTCCTCGCATTTAAGATCTCAAGGGAAGAACTGGATTACGTCCATCCCTGGTCCACCCAGCTGTGTGGGGAGGTCACCAAGGGCCAAGGGCAGCAAGAGATGAACTGAGAAGCAAGTGGGGGAGAGCCTGAACCCCCAAAGCAAGTTAAGTACTGATCGTCATAGTTATCCCTTGCTGCTGCAACAAATAACCATGAACCCAGTGGAATATATACAAATGTATTCTTTTAAATGTAATCATATTGTAAAATAAGGTGACAGCTGGCTGCTTCCTTCTAGAGGCTTCACGAGAGACGCTGTTCCTCACCTCCTCCAGCTTCTAGAGGCTACCGGGCCCTCCTGGGCGCAGAGCTGGGTCACGCCAGCGTCTGCTCCTGTTTTCACACCTCCCCTCTCCAACTTTGACCCTCACATGTCTCTCTTTTAAGGATTCTTGTGATTACATTGGGGCCACTTAGATAATCAGACATAACCTGCCTATCTCAAGACCTTGAACCTAATCACATCTGCAGAGTTCCTTCTGCCATAGGAAGTAACACATCCATGTTCCTGAGCTTTGGGGGCGAGCATTTGGCCTCCCCATCGAGACTCCTGGCCATTCTCATGAGCACTGTGCTTCACTGCCTCTCCGCCCTCCTCTGCCATGTTGCCAGATACATACTTGGACAAGAATCTTTTATATCTCAAACCACAGAAGGTTGAATGATGTCCTGTTTCCACCAGAAAAGCAAAAGTGCATGCCTCACCTCATTGTGTCTGTCAAGAGGTTCTTCACAAACAAGAGTGTGGTTTTGTGGGCTTGGCTGAGCCAGGAGAGGTCTGGACACCACAGGGCCACAGAGGTGGGGACACAGGGCCAAAGAGATCAAGGCTAATATATTGAAGAAGAGGAGAAATACCACACAGGGTGCGGCCATTTGAGGAGTGTCAGGTGGGAGAAGGGCCACAGAGTAGACTTCTAACCGAAGGGGAGGATCGCAGGGGTATAGGTTTTGGCTCAGTGTGGAGAAGAAACATCTAACAGGGCAGTCCCAGAACACAGCAAGCCTTCCTGAGGGTTGCTAGTTGGTGACTCTGATAGGATGACGATGATAATTTTCACTTATCTAATCATATCCCCCCTCCCGTGTCCTCTCCATCTGGGTTTCAGCATCATCTCCCATCTTAAAATAAATCCTTTCTCAACCCCACGTTCTTCTCCTACCACCACTTGATGCCTCTCTTCTCCTTGGTAGCCAAGTCCCTTGCGAGAGTGAGTCACCACATCCGTCCCTGCAGCTCCATTCCCCCCTCCTCTCGCTGCAGTTGGGCTCTCACCCCCACCCCTCTTCTAACGCTCCCTCACCAAGTAAACAAGGACCTTAAACAGCAACTTCATTTTCTCTGAATCTGACAGACAGACAGCAGACCGGATCTTCCCGGAACTCGCAGGAGCGCTCCACACCAGGGGTCACGCACTAGCTCCTTCCCCTTCTCCCCCCAGCTTCCCGGAACCACATCCCCCGGGATGGCTTTGGATGGCCACCCTTCGGCGAATCCTCCCAGGACGTCTGTGCTCCTGTCATTTAAAGGTCAGCATTCCTCAGGGGTCTGTTCTGAGAGCTCCTTGCCTTCTCATCTACATCTTCTCTTGCTGGTTGGTTGCAGCTACTTCCATGGTTTGGTTATCATATATATGCTGCTGATATATAAATCTGTATCTCTGGCTCCAGATCCATATATCCAACGACTCACATTTGTGTGTCCCACAGGCATGTCAAAAGCAGGCCTTTCAGTTCTGAACTTATCTTCCACCTCAGATAGGCTTTTTCTCCCGTATTTCCCATCCCGGTAAATTCTTCCACCACCCGTCAGTTGCTCAAGCCAGAAACAAGGCACACTCCTTAACTCATCCTTTTCCTCATTTCCACTCATTCATTCTATTGTTTTATTTTCCTAATGTTGTTCAAATCTACCTACTTCTCTACCACAGTCACCTTCTTAGTCCAGGTCACCGTCAGCTCTCATCTGAATCACCCAAAAGCCTCCTAAATGGTCTCCCACCCTCCGCTTGTATCTTATCTCCTCCATGCCCAAGCTCCCTCCACACCCTCCACCTGTACACAGCTGCCCACGCCCATGCCCGTGGGTGCTATGGGTGCTATGGTCCTCTCTCGAGGATAAACCGTGGAAGAGGTTCAGGGCCCCTTGGGAAGAGAATTCTGCAGTCCTGAATACCCAGAGCATGGGCGAGCGCCGTTCTGAATGGGCACACTCTGGCCCTGTGGCAGGCAGATTCTCAGATGACCCCGATCTTTCCTGTATCCTGGCGTATACAGCCTGCCTAGCCCCCCAGACTTTGAGAACGATGGACGTACTTCCATGTTCAGGTTGTATTATACAGCTGACCTTAGCATAGGAAGATCATCTGGGTAGGCCTGACCCGATCACACAAGCCCTTTAAAAGCAGTGAGTTTTCTTTGATCTCAGAAGAGAAGTCAGAGATTTGAATGAAGCATGAGAACAATTCATTGTGTCATTGCTGGCTCGAGGGTGGAGAAGGCCACGTGGCAAAGAATGCAAGTGGCCTCTAGAATCTGAGATAGGCCCCTGGATGGCAGCAAGGAAACAGAGCTCCTAGTCCTATAACCACAAGGAATTGAATTTTACCAACAAGGATGAGCTTGGATGTTATGGGTTGGCAAAAAAGTTTGGTTTTTTCCCGCATGATGGCTCCAGTAGTGTTTAATTGTCTTTAACTTCATTCAAAACAATTTTGTTAGATTGTATTGTGATAGCTGTTATATTGGCATTATGTTAAAAAAAAAAAAACTTAACCAAAATTGGTGAATTTTTGTGTAGCCATTTAAATATTGAAGATGGAAGGAAATATGCAACATTTTCAGCATAGTATGCTTTATTATTTCAAGAAAGGTGAAAACACAACTGAAATGCCAAAAAGGATTTGTGCAGTGTATGGAGAAGGTGCTGTGACTGATCAAACATATTAAAAGTGACTTGCAAAGTTTCATGCTGGAGATTTCTCGCTGGATGATGTTCCATGGCTGAGTAGACCAGTTGAAGTTGATAGTGATCAAATTGAGACATTAATTGAGAACAAAGTTATACCATGCGGGACATAGCTGACATACTCAAAATATCCAAATCAATAAAGTTATTGGTGAAAATGAAAAATATGTCTTTTACTTTATGGAAAAAACTAAATGGACTTTTTGTCCAACCCAATAAACTTTCCCCAGAGTCCCAAAGAACTCAGCCCAGCTCACAGTTTGATTTCAGCCTTGGGGGTCTCTGAGCAGAGAACCCAGTCACGCCATGCCCAAACCGCTAACCTACAGAGCTGTGAGCTACCAAGTGGACAGTGTTTTATACCACTGAATTTGTGGTAATTCACTAAGCAGCAGTGGAACACTAATACAGTCCCACAGGCTTCTTACTCCAGGGGGAAGCTTGCAGCCAGCAGCCTGGTGAGGGCCGCAGTGGGGTTTCTAAAGCATGTGTCCAGGGAAGTGGTCCCCACTGTGTAGGCCAAGGCTGGTACTACCCCATAAATTCCTGAATATGAATTCTGCTCACACCCACCACCTCGTGTTACTCCCTGTGTGCTCAGGTGTTGCTTGGTGCTTATGTTTGAAAACCCTGGGCTTAGGTCTCATGCCTATCTCCTAGCTGCAAGGGAGGCTGGGAAACTAAGCTGTGATACATAATTGAGAAGTGGATCCCATAACATGGGAAGTCCCCCATAATTACACTGTTCAAATCATGATTATCCACTGAGACCTTGTAAGGAGTTTGTTTTTTGACTGTCTCTCCCATTCCACCCCCTCCCACCACTTTATTTTCCCATTTCTTCTGGCAACATCATTCTTTTTCCTTAAGGAAAAGACACAAAATGTGGTTCAGGTCAGGCTCATTCAGATCTGTTACCCTCTGCCTACTTTCTGCCACAAAAGTGAGCACATGACCCAGCACTGGCCAATCAGGTGATACCATGCCCCTAGCCACAGTGATTGGTTAAGAGATTAATATGTAACTCAAGCTCAACCAATCAGTCTTTTCTGGGTCTTTCTTGGCAGAGCCATCAGGAAACACTTGTTTGTTCCTCTGGGGCTGTTGCCAGAGGAGAGGATGAGAGGTTATGAGTGTGCCATTTTCCTGCCTAGGTAGCCTGTTCAAGAAGAAGACCAAATAGATCCAAGATGTGGGGAGAGAGACCCAGCCCTGATAACACGGTTTGAACTCTTATAACTGCCTATGTCAGAGGACAGCTCCGTCTCTTATGCTGCCCAGTTACATGACAGTAAATCCCTCTGTGGCTTGGTGGCTAACTTGAGTTGGGTTTCTGTCACATAGCCGAACACTATAGCTGACACAGACCTACTCTTCATCCTGTCCGCACAACGTTGCAGCCCTGGAACCTGGGGCGACTGCCTTTGACTCTAGATCTGAGCTTGATTCTGAGGGACTAAGAGAACCTGGCAGCCTCTTGTCTTGTTTCCTGTATTGCCAGCCCCTGCCTTACGCTCCGATATCACTAACTGACGCCCGGTCTTGCTTCGTTATCCTGGCCTTTTGACTTTTCAGCCCTAGCACGGGCAGCCTCCGGACCCAGAACCCCAAGCCAGAACCCACCATCTGCTGCTCTACATCCTGGATTTTGCCTGATCGCATCTGGACTTCCATCTACGGTCCACACCTGCCCTATTTGATGCACACAGCATCCCCCAATCCCGGTGCACCATGGCTCTACCCATTTCACAGATGGCCAACTTGCTGTTTTGTCAAGGTGAGGCTTCACAGTACAATTTAAGGCAGTATTTCCCAAGCTGTGTTCTATGGATCACCACTCAGTGAGCTGTAAACCTTCCATTAACACAGAGAACGAAAACAAAGCTGGCAGCATTCTTCAATTTTATATTTTAAAATATAAACAACGGAGAAGCATTTTACATGGGGTTGTCTTCCACACTCAGCACTTAAGGAAAAACATTATGTCTTGTCAAAGTTGCCTTTACTCAGCCCTTGGACTGTGCCCAGACCTTCCTCCTGCCAGTGAGCCCATCAGAGCCAGGTTTTCCTCCAGCCCTGGAACAAGTTGCTGCTTTTCCAGTTTCGTTCCAGGTGAAAGTAAAGGAGCTGGCTTATTTTAGGGGACACACTGGGTGGAAAACATGGATCTAGATTTATAGGCAGGGGGGCAAAATGCTCATCCTATGAGGAGCACATGGGAGCAGAGGCTGACTGAGGAAACACCCCGCACCTCAGGTGTCCCATCTCACACCTGCTCCGGGGCACCGGTCACTGAACCGCCATGCTGGCTTAATTGTGCTCTCTCTCCTTTCTCCTGTGCAACATCGCTAACCCAGGAATACCAGGAAGTTCCACCCTGTGTTACCGGGAATCGTGATATGCAATCTATGTATTGATGCACAAGGGAGCATTTACTAATATGCTTTTTACCACCAGTTCTGTGATATCTGGTCTAACTAATGTGTCTTATTTTAGCATTCTAAGGTACGTGTTTATGATTCAGTATTCGTTGCATAGTAAAGATATGAATCAAATAATGATGATCCTAATAATTAATATTAATAAGAAGAATTAACACTTGGTAAGAGCTTGCCACATGCCAGGTATTTTTCTAGCAGCTTTGCATGTATTAACTCATTTGATTCTCAGAACAACCATCATCCCCATTTTATAGATAAGGAAACTCAAAGAGGTGAAGGATTTTTGAATCCACATTTATAGATCTCAAATCCCAAGGGTAGGTGTGTTTACTTTGATAGTCAAAGGAGTCAGGATGTACTGCATATGGAAGTACCTATGATATTCAGAAAGATTCTTTTTGAAAATAGCTACCATTTGTGGAGCTCCTACCCTATGCCAGGCATTGGTAGGGGCTTGTATACCTTTCTGTTTATCACAATAACTCTATGAACAGATACTGAAACTGAGGCTCAGAGAGATTAAGTGACAACACTGTGTTCTTGTATAGATGCAAGTTACCATCATCATTATCATCATCATCATCCTCATCATCGTCATCATCATCGTCATCGTCACAAAAAGCAAGAGAGCATTACCTATTAGGAAAATGTGAACCAAAACCACAAGGAGATACCACTTTGTGTCTCACTAGGATGCCTACAATTCAGAAGGCAGATAATAACAAGCGTTGGTGAGGCTGTGGAGACACTGGATGATAGATACACTGCTGGCAGGAACGTGAGATGGTGCAGCCGCTGTGAAAAACGGTTGGGTGGTTCCTCAAAAGGTTGAAAATAGCGTTACCCAATGATCCACCAATTTTATCCATAGCTAAATACCCAAGAAAACTGAAAACATGTTCATGCAAAAACCTGTACACGAATGTCCGCAGCAGCTTTGTTCATAACAGCTTCGAACTGGAAACAACCCAACTGTCCACCAAGAGGTGGTCTATCCATACACCACTGGATTATTACTCCTCCATAAAAGGGAATGAAGTACTGATACGTGCTCCAACGTGGGTGAGCCTTGAAAACATGATGCTAAGCGGAAGTAGCCAGTCACAAAGGACGACACAGTGTATGATTCTGTTTGTATGAAATGTCCAGGATAAGCAAATCCATAGAGACAGAAATAGTGGGTGCCTGGAGCTTCAGAGGAACAGGGGGATTGGGAATGATTGCCAAGGGGTGTGGGGTTTCTTTTGGAGGTGATGAGAATATTCTAAAATGGTGATGAAGATTGTACAACTCTGCGAATATGATAAAAACCACTAAATTGTACACTTCAAATGAGTGACTTGTATAGTATGTAAATTATGTCTCAATAAGATGTCAAAAAGAAAGAAAAAAAAGGAAGAAAAAGAAAAGAAAAAAAGAAAAAGAGCAAGGGGAGCCTTCCTGGCTCTGAAGAGGACCTGAAGTTACGTTTACAAGCCTGGTCCTGTTCCTCGCTCGAAGCAACGATGACTCAGTTGCCAACAATATCACCAGGTGCAGCCCGGTTCCTTGCTGCCTCCCTGGATGCTGCCTTGTGTTTTCCCACCTTTCCCAGGCATGCCCCTGCCCATTTCACCCCGCAGGCCCAGGATGGGACCCAGCATCACGCTCGCCTCCATGGCTTCTTTATGCAGTGACTGGCGCTGCTTCCCCCTGCCTGCTGCTTCCCCGCCAGCCCCGCTCCCTTCCCTGCCAGCTTGCTCTGAGCCTCACGTCTCAGACTTTAAAACCACGTGTAATTCAGGATGTGCACCAGAAGCTGCACCTTGGGGTTTCCTGTGCCTTCAACCACTGCAGAGATTTGGGGGCCATCCCCACACTTTACTTACCTAACATAGGAAAAGACAATCACGTGGAAGACCCACTTAATGGCGCCGAAGTTCGTGCTCTGGATCTGTATGGTTTTGTCTGTCTCATACTGGAGGATGTCCCTGCAGCAGGCTGCCATGGTGAGAGGCTTGTTTGGGGCTGGACTAGTGCTCACTGCTCCCAGACCAGTCACAGCAGGCCCATCAGCAAGAGGAAAGGAAGTGTCTCGATTCTTAGCAGCAGCCTTAAAGTTTGAGTTCCTCCAATGACAGCAGAGCCTGGGCGGACCCTGGCAGCTGCCCAGATATGGCTGGGGATAAACAAGGGAAGCCAAGTCCTACAGGCCTGCCTGGCAGATGACCTTGCCCCAGCTGGCCTCCCCCAGATGCCTGCACAAAGATGGTGTTTACAGGAAGAGCATTTTTAGAATTCTGGCTTTCCCCTTTTTCCTTTTACTTTTTGACTCATTTCATTTTGGGGGGAAAGAGGCAGCCCTTCAAATGTCAGGAGACCCAGTGCTTCCATTGTGCCTTAGTAAAGGGCCTAGATCTTTCCATTGCCTCCAGCCTCACTCAGACACTGATTGATTCATTTCTACAACCCTTTATTCAGCCCTGACGTGTATGAACTCTGAGTGAATGAAGGTCTCCCCGGCGTGTTTCTCCCCCCACTTCCTCACAACGCTCCCGTCTATAGATAGTAGGGGGAATCAGGTTTGCTGTGGGGGGTATTTTATTGCTATGCTGGACATTTCCCGCATGGCCCTCTATAACCTGTCTCTACCATGCTCTGTGCCCCGGGAGGTCCACCCATGACTACGCCAGTCAGCCTAAGACTACCGGGAACAAACTTGCTATCCCAAAAAGCTAGGTTTTGACCCATTCAGTGAGGGAGAACTCATGCCAGAGGAACCGTGGGGCAGCACCTAACAAAGGGACAGAATTATTATAGGATTCAGGGGGGGCGGGGTTTAGAGTCTATTTATTTATTTTAAAGATTTTATTTATTTTTAGAGAGCAGGGAAGGAAGAGAGAAAGAGAGGGAGAGAAACATTGATGTGCAAGAGAAACATCTTCTGGTTGTCTCTCGTACACACCTTGACCTGGAACCAAACCTGCAACCCAGGCATGTGCCCTGAGGAGGAATCAAACCTGTAACCTTTGGGTTTGTGGGACGATGCCCAACCCGCTGAGCCACACCAGTCACAGCTAGATTAAATTTAAATGAAAGCAGATTTTGACAGGCTCAAAGCAAAGCAAAGAAAGGTCAACTTCAGACTTGGATTTTAAAGTGGATCCAGGGTTCTGTTTCCTTGCAAACAATAAAGCTAAGACTTCGAATATTCCAGGAACCCTTTATCTAAAGTGCACCATTGAGCGCCTTAGATCTTCCAGGCAAGAGTGGAGTATTTCATTCTTACTGATGCAATTTCAAGTAGCAAAGTTTTCGCAAGTCTCTGGCTTTAGAGGACGGCGTTTCTCAGCGAGTAGAAAGCAATCATCACTCACTCAAAGATGGGGGCATGGTCACTTCGCAGCTACAGGGAGATGTTTCCTCATATATTTGGAGCTGACTTTACCCTTTCCTGCTCTTTTGGTGTGCTAAGTGGCCGGGGCGATTTTCACTTCTCCAATCTGAGCTAAACGGTACTTTCTTACCCCTGTGAGCTGCATCAGGGGCTCCCTTACCTCCTGGCTCCCAGTTCAGGAGACTGGTGAGCACCGGGCCGGCGAGGGCGGACGGGGGCTCTCCCGGCCCCTCTCCTCCAGAATGCGCAGCCAGGGTTACAGGGCGCCGTGCCCTCCCGGCCCCTTCAGGCCTACAGACGGTAAGGGCTCCCTACTTTTGCCAGCCCCAGGCGACTCACCATCCTTACTGCTTTTTCTTAACTCTGCCGACACTGGGATAAGTGGCCCCACTGGGGTATGCCATCATTTTTCGGAAGATGCAGTAATCTCCTCTGTGTAAAGAGGAGGTCCACAGGACTCTTGTGAGGGCACTGGAGCCTAATGGTTAGAACACAGGCACGGATGGACGAGCTGTCTGCCTTCCAATCCTGGGCTCACACCTTACCACCTTTGTGACATTGGACCTCGCTGTTTATGCTGTTCAGTCATTCATTCAGTCATTCCCAAGATCACCAGCCACTAGCAGATAGAGGAGTAAGCAGACAAGCAACCCAGATGTCCATCAACAAATGAATGGACAACAATATGTGGGTCATGTGTCCAATGGAATATTATACAGCCATGAAAAGGAATGAAGCACCGAGACCTGCAACAACATGGATGGACCTTGAGAATATGACGCTGAGTGAGAAAAACCAGACACAAAAGTCACATATCGTGTGAGTCTATTGATAGGAAATGTCCAGAACTGGCAAATCACGTCAGTATTGCCCTTGCCACCAGCCAAAGACATACTCTCTCCTAGTCTTTCTGCTGAACTCGTACCCTCATCTCTCATACTCTTCCCGCTCTGCTTCCTCAGTCCTCTGTCCACTATTCCTCCAGCCCCAGCACTTAATAAGCTTATTAATGAAGTCTCGGTTGCCAGATTCAGTAGATATGTTTTATTCCTTACTTTACTTGACCTTTTGGACACATTCAACATAACTGACCATTTTCTGCTTCTTGGAACAATTTCTTCCCTTGATTCCCATGACGCCCCTGAGTTCCATCCTCTGCTGGTTTCTCATTTTAACCTTTATGACTCTTTGTCCTGTCTTTCTATGGCTCTCTTCTCCCCTTAAATGCCAATTCTAGAGAATTCTGTCTCAACATCTCTACGCTGCAATAACAACACCACACATCTCACGGCTTAAAAACAATGTCAGCTTATTTCTCACCAACACTTCATGTCCCCCACGGGTCACCCAGGAGGCTCTGTTCATCGAAGTCAGACAGAGGCCAAGACCATGGGACAGCCAGTGTCTCGAACTCTGGAGTGAGAAAGCCGGCAGGTCTTTCCGCAGCATGGAGATGCTCTGAGCTAGAAATAATGCGCCCGCTTCTGCTTCTAACTCGTCACGTGGCCCTATCGAGCCACCAGGCAGCCAGGAAACGCAGTCCTGCCACATGTGGCCCATGGAGAAAAAAAAGAAGCCGAAGTGCTTGGTGGACAGCAGTAGTGACCTTTGCATCTTCTCCCTGGAAAGTTTCATCCACACATATTCTTTTAAGAATCACCAAAACGCTAAAAGAAAGGAGAGTGGAAGGGCCCATGTGTATATTGTGTGTTTTGGTATGCAAGGACTAAAGCTGGAAATAGGACCTACTGTACAATTTGGGGGGCCCAATGAAAAATGAAACATGGAGTCCTTTGTTCAAAATTAAGAATTTCATGACAGCAACAGCAGAATGTTAGCCTGTGCAGAACCTCCAGACTTCCTTATCCCAAAGACACTTCAAATCACATCTTCAGAATGGAATGCCTTCCTGCAAAACAGTCATGCAAGAAAGAGCTCACAAGAGGGGGAGAGTGGAGAGAGCAGAGGTGGACGGCTTTTCCTGCCGGCTCGGCCCTGAGAGGAGGGACATCGGGGTGGCTTTTAATGGGGGGCACCGAATTAAGGGAAGACTGGGGGGTATTTAAGATGGAAACATTCGAGCCATTCAAAGATGTTCGAAGTGGAACATCAAGATTAGTAGTCTCTGTTTCTTTGTGAAGTAGGAAGTGAGGTTATGGGTGAAATGGGGGGAAGATGAGGCTTGGGTGAAATTCTTAGTCAAGGGTGTGTGTGGGAGAAGGTTGTATGTGTTTCTGGTTACAAGGCAGAAATCCAGGTGATTTCCCTTCAGTGGAGAAGGAAGCATGTCAAGGAAACATGGTTTGTCTCAGAATCTAAATGCATGGGGACAACTGTAATTGAACAACAGTAAAAAAATTAAAAACAGCAAGATTTCAAATGCAGGAAATGGGGCCCAACCTTGAAAGAACTTATTAATAGAATCAGAAACTGCAATGCCCTGCCCTGAGGTTGCTCCTGCTCGTCTAAAGCTGTGCAGTCCTGCCTCTGCCCCTCTCTCCAAACACCGTGGGTCCCTCCTAACACTGGAGTCCTCTGCCCCTCCCAGGGCAGCCAAGGAAAGCTGTCTCGGTTCGGTGCCCAATGTTGCCTGAAAACCTCAGGGCACTGCCCAGTTCCAGAGTCCCAGAGGAAGGAATCTGGGCGATCTAGCTGTTTCTCTCTGTCCAATCAGTTCTAGCTGTGGGCGGGGTCACAAGTAGCCGGAGCTGTGAGGAGGGGGCGGAGAGAGGACGAGGACGGAGAGGGTGGTGGAAAGCGGTGTGGCTCTGGGAACAAAGTCTACAGGCTGAGGGCTCTGGTCAAATTCCTCGGCTCCTCTGTCCCAGGTGACACAGCTGGAGGCAAGCCAGGCAGTTTCCCAGAGGTCCCTAGTGGCATTGAGCCCCTGCTGCCCACAGCAGCAACCTGCCCTTGAATGCTTCCTGTTCCGCTGCCCCACTTCCCTTCCTGGCCTCAACCTCCCAAGGAAACCATTCGCACGGAATCCTCGTCTCAGGGTGTGCTTGGAGGAAACCCATGTAGTCCAGCCTCCTGGGCTGTGGTGAGGAGCCTGGACCCTCTCCTCAGAGCGCTAGGCAGGTGTACGAGCAGAGGCATGGCGTGGTCTCGTTGGCACTTTAGTGAAGGCTGCTGTTGGGAAATGGGTGGCAGGGGCAGGAGTGGGGGCAGGGGGTCTGCCCTGGGAGAGGTACAGGGGCACGGAGCAGGGCTGAGGCAGGTCCCCGGAGGCCACCAACACCAAGGAGGCTAAGTGGAGGCATCAGGGAAGGAGAGGAACCCCAGGAGGGAGGGTGCACCCAAAGGCCAACGATTCGCAAATAAGCCAGTGGCCGCAGAAGATTCTAACAGCAACTATTAAGCTGTGTAACTAAAAGCCACTAGTGATGACCTGACATAAATTAATGGAACAGGATACAGGATAGAGTCAAGTATTAAACACAAAGGGAAGTGGGAACTTAGTATATGATAAAAACATGTAAAATTAGGGAAGAAAGAAATTAGAATAGGAGCTCAGAGCAATTGGCTAACCATTTAGAAGAAGTCTGTGGAGGGATGGGGAGTGGCCTTCTAACTTCTCATGTTTAAAAAGATGTGTGACACGGTTCCTGGACTGTGTTTCTTGTGGTCAAGTTTGTACACTCATTTGAGGAAGGCTTGGGCCCTTGTAAACTCACATTCTACGATGCACTCCTTTTAGAACCTTTACAGAAACACCAGCATACTTGGCCTCAAAAGGTGAATGAGGGCCACAGTAAAAAGTCAGGCTCTGGGCATTCTGGGAAAGGAGGGAACCAGCTGCGTGGCTTGCATGC